ATGAGGTAAACTTTTATTTTTAAAGTAATCAAGAAGGTAATTATGATGGGGACTGTAATATTACAATTCTGATTTCCACAGTTGAAGTGTCATGTACCGTATCATGTACCCAGAAACTGCCACCCATCTGGACAACAAAACACACCTGCTGCTCTTGCCCTTCAAATTACTGGATATCCGTGGATCACCAGCGCTCTAACTGATGGATCTATCAAACGGTGAGAGACCGGTTACATTTCATGGAAAAGGTCACATTTCAGCATAAAATGAACATGGAAAAGAAAGGATTTAATTTTTCATATCATATCATATCATATTCATATCATATATATATATATATATACATACACGGTATTAGCCTATTTTTACAACAATTACGTATTTGCACTGACATTTTTTTTTTATCATTGTTTAACATGTTTTCCAGTAAATTCTTCACACAATTCATATCTATATATCTGCAAAAAAAAATTGTTTTCACATAATCAAACCATGATGTGTAAATAATTTAGTTTAGTTCCTTTTTTCTCTTAATGTATTACAGAACTCGGTTTATGGTTATAGACTTGCTACAAGCCAACAAGGACAAAGTAAGATCAGTATTTGGATTTTGTGTTTCAACAATAAACCTTTCAACAAAAAGAGTTAAAGACATTTGATCTGACATAATTGGGCGTAATGCTTTGTCTCTACAAACTGCACCAAGGAGACATATATCTATGGACACTAATACACAGACTGGGCTTGCGATAATTGTATAGGCCTATGTCATGTGAACCATTTAGCATCACCACAATACGTAATAGTGCAAACACTCATGCAAAATGTTTTCTTCTTAATCAGGTTCTGAGTCCCAGATTTTCTCAGCCTCTTAGATTTCATTGTAGTCTCTGAAGTGGCTTATAACTGTCTTCTCGTTCATCCAGGTAATGGTTATGCACCCTGCGTTTATGCATTATGTGCGCTCTACATGGCTGCACATTAGGCGATCTTATTCGTCCACGGGTTTCCTTGTTCTAATGTTCGCCCTGCACATCTGCGATGAGGTCAAGCTTTTAAGAGTCACTGATTGTGTGGCTTCACTGTCTGGGGTTTGTGTGCTGTGTGCAAATGTCAGCAACGTTTGCTGGTGTATTTTCTTGTCTTAGGTCAGCGTGTTTGGCTTTTGAACAGTAAAGGCACTTGGCACCACTATTACGAAAACATGCCCAAGAATTTCAAACGCACTGGTCAACACCCTGGAGGGATTGAGTGTGTATCTATAAACTGAGTGTGTTTGGGGGTCTGCAAGTAAAATAAAGTTTACATTAAGCAACATTTTAAAATGTTTAAACCCGTTCACACTTTTCTCAATATGGATATTTTGGTGTTTCGCTTGAACATGATAATTCAGATAGCTGCACTATTAAACCATATGTATTCACACACTCTTTATTTCTGTTAAATGCTTCAGCTAAATCTGCAACCCTTATCACTTCACAAGTGGCATTATTGTGAAATCTTAAATCCCAAATGTGAGTTAGCCTATGTATAAAGATGTTTTGCACATTAAATATCAAGTCTTGATATTTAAAATCTCTGTCTTCATTGTTCTGTTGTCACTGAATAGTGAAAATTGCAGTTGTTGTCATTCCAAACGTATATTACGTATATGCTATGCTGTTTCTATTGTAGTGGTGTTCGGAAGTACGATTTTGTCACTGTGAATATTGCGATACTGATTAAAATGGCTTATTAAAGTAATTAAACAAATATGTTCGTTTTTTGATAGAATTTTGATGTCAAGCCGTCACCCCGCCCCCTTTGGCCACGAGGAATATTATTGGCCAAAAGAAACCCGGAAGTAAGCGCAGTGTTTTCAAAGCCAGTTATGCACGTGTCGGAAATATGGTCCGATTCAAGTCGAGGTAATGAAGGAAAGGCGTTACTTTGCGCTTTTTAAACTTATAAACAGTTCTAACCTCTCGTTATTCTGTGACCTGTCCAGGTATTTGCTGTGTGAGGTGTGCGTCCCTGATCGGAGCAGTCTTCAGCTGTTGGAGGACAGAACCATCTACAACACACTCCGAGCAGCCGTGAACCGAGCGCACGGCGACTACGGATCAGCGCTCTTTAACATAGGGGTGATAGGTAAACACTGGGCTTGTTATTATTTTGTGCCTATTAAGATCTCAACCAGATAAGAAAGAATCAGACTGCTGCTCGTTTTGCGTTACCGTTATTTTGATGCGGTGCAATTACGTAGCTTAATTTTACGTTTATTTAGCTCAGTTTAATGTCTCATTACAGTGACATCTTGTCAAATCTCCTGTAGTGAAATACTTGAACGCCCACACTGGAGTGGTCCTGATACGCAGCAGGAAAAAACACTATCGACTCATCTGGTCTGCCCTTTCTTTCATCACCTGCCTTGAGAACAGAGGCCAGAAGGTGCAGTGCTTCCTCAACTGCTTGCATGTTGGAGGTAAGAGAGGCTCTGTCTAGTTTAGCCTCCATCTGACACCAAACTCCACACCATGTGCTCTTACAGCCATCCATGCCCTTCCCTGATCTCTTCCACAGGAACGATTAGAACATGTCAGAAGTTCCTTGTTAAATATAACAGACAACAGCTCCACAGAATGCTGCCAGACTGCAAGACAGACGGTAAGTGTTCTTTCTGTTATATTACAGTCTATCCTTAATTATAATGTAATATATTATAATATTAATTCTCATGACAAAAAAAAACTTCTTATGATGACTTTTTTGTGTTCTCGACAAAATAGTTGTGTTTTCACTCATGAAAACTCACATACATGAAAATTAGAATACACATTATTAAGTCACTTCTGTTTTGGAATAAATATAGCAGTAATGCTGAGTTCACACTGCACAATTTTTAAAGTCATTGGATCACTGTTGTTTTCACACTGCGTGACTATCTGGGGTAGCATTCAGTTGCTGCTGCTGTGTTCACATTGCACGATGGATCGGCGACAGGAGGTTGCACACTGCGTGACTTAACAATAGGAAGAATCGCTGACAACTCTGTCTGGTCTGCAAACTACATTTAGCAACCAAACGCATGCCAGAAGTGATGAGGAAATAACACAAGCTCACGCGTGAGATTCTTGTACGAGACTTGAAATGGTATTAAAAAGGTAGCCCCCAAGAAGTTTGCGATACAAATGGTCTGTGCACCGATTTGCAGTGAAAGGGTGGAAAAGAAAAAAGATTATGGAGGAGAAAATGGTTTTTGTGATATTGTGGTCTATAACTCCTCCCCAAACTTCCCGCTGTCTTGTATCTTGCTCTCTCATTGGCTAGAAGTCATCGGCGATGTATTTTTCAGTCAGAACTCATTTCACACAGCAGAATTTTGAATCGCCGACAGGTCCAGATATTTAGCATGCCAAATATT